CGTCACATCTAATATTACGTAAGCATGACGTTATTCAGAGCAGCCAAATTGATTGCAAGTGTTGTCTTCAGGCAGTGTTTAAATCAATCACAGTCACTGCCAAGAGTAATTAATGTGAGCTTTTTCACTTCAAAGCACACTGGACCAAAGAGTAAAGAAAAAACAAAGGTCAGATGAAGCGCTTTCATGGCTGCAATGTTGTGAGAGCCGCAGAATCAAAACAAGATGTAGATGTTGATCAAAAAGGCAAAATTATGCTAACAGTGCTACATTAAAATATTACCCTCTTCATCAAAATGCATGACTGGTAGTCATCAGAGCTTTCTTTCAGTGTCGGATCTCTCGGATGTCAGGTCTATAAGAAGATTTCCTCTCAGAGTAATTTAGTGTGCAATGCCTGCGATTAGATTCACACCTGGTTTTAATTTGTATATCACATCAGCAAGTATCAGAGCAAAGGCATGTGCTGGGGCATGTCATATCAATTGACATTATCTCTCTGCGTATTAATTGTAATTGAATCTACAATCAGTAATGATCGGTTTTATCATCTGATTACGCGGCTATGGGCTCAATATCTTCTATCTAGGGCATTCAAGTTTGGTTCAGAGTAAAGCCCTACATCTGCCAATTAAAAGAAACGAGGAATGATAGAATCATGATCTGTCGATGGACATTTTGATGCAGGGACATGTACTCTTATTTTTGATTGCAAGTACTCGTCGTATTTAAATACTGCTTAAGCATCAAAGGCAAATTGGATTGCAAATGTGGATGACACAACATGGCAATAAGACTTTTTTTTGGACTGTTGACTTGAAAAATGACAAATGCTTTAGAATACTTAGGCCGTCATCCCATGCTGTGTCACAGAAGCTCATCTACTTTTACTTTTACTTCGCTTTTCATATTTTTTTCCAAAATGTTCTTCCCCTCCCACAGATAAAAACCTTCCAAACAGCTCCAGTGTAGAAGTGGAGGTGACCCCACCTATGAATGGAACTGCGGGGCAAGAGGGGGACACGGTGGGTAATCAGTCACTGTAAACCTCAACTGGAAAAAATGCATTTTGTTATTAGCACAACCACTGCCTAACTAACTCGGTCATGCTATGAAAAGCAACGATACAATCACACTGGTAAAGTTAGGGGATGTTCCATTGTCTCACCAGTGGCTCTTTCCTCTTAGAGTATGACTGATGCAAAGGTTGCACAGAATATGGCACAGACCACCACAGCTGATCATTTCCCAGCATGCACTAAGCAAGTTCCTCCATCTACACCCAGACCTGCCAAAGACCTGCCTACTCACACTGAGTTCTGTAATCACACCCCTGACTCACCTGCTGCTCACCGCCGCTGGGTGCTCCAAATGAACACCATCACACAGACCTCTACACCAAAATGCACGCACACACACACACACAAATCCACGCTACCTTTGAAAAACAGCCAGGGTATGGAAGCCTCAGAACGGCACCTGCAGCGGCAGCGCTGGCATTAACAGTGTCCACAGGGTGCAACAGCCTGCCAGGCCAGCAGACGGTCGTGGGGCAAGTGGGCAGTGATTCTAAGTCGTGTGGCGAGACCACAACAGAGTATGTGTCAGGTGTCCAGGTCATGCCGCTGAAAATAACCATAGTGGTCACTCTACCTCAGATTTATCACTGTGATGAGATTCATTTTTATGTACAATTCCGAATGTTGTGAACCTAGCTTTTCTGTGAGAGTAAAAAGTCTCAAGATGTATCTACCAAAATGTCTGTGCCCGATATACACTCTTGGAATAAGAAAAGGATGGAATTACATTGTTTACATGTCAATCCACATATAATGATGTATAGTAGTCAATGACATCTATGTTGAAACTAAAAGTTGATTTGAAATTATTTCCTATCAAAAAGTAACAGCTTTAAATGATCTGAGTATGCACATAATTATGACTGTCATATGCAATTCTCTTAAACCTTTTCTGGAGACTATTTTTAAGGTTAATCGGATTCGTTTCACCTTGATTCCAGCGACTAATCCACTATATTATTATTCTTTTTAGATCATTCAGTTTATCTTGTATTGCAGGGATTTGTAAAAACTGCACATTATTTCTAATATGATCTGTAGCTTTGCATACAATAGTCAATAATACTGAGGAAAGATTTTAATCTCAATATGTGATGAGTGATATTCTACCTCCTGTGGTATCAGAATAATAACACATTCATGCTTCCTAATATATATTGATGTATTTATAGAGAAAACAATCCTTCTCCGAAAAATTCATTGTAAATTAAAAACAAAGTGATGGGGGAAATGTCTCAGATTTTAGTGATCTACACTGTCGCAAGTTGTTTTAAGTTTCTTATATCATGCCTTGAGTTCTAAATAACTGTGAAGCTGAAAAGATATTCCTTTCTAAATGCATTATCTGTTTGAGTTCCTTAAAAGTGTCTTATTTGATTCCAAAAATGTTAATGAGAACCTGTGCTGATTTACAATTTGCTAACTTTGAGAGATTTGAATTTATATTGGCACGCCTAATTCCAGCTTGCGGCTATTTTTAGGTAATGTGTCCCACAGAGCAACTGTCTGTGTCAGCCAGGAAGTTGCTGGAAACAGCTCACGCCTTCATGTGCCGCCAGGGGCCCCATCATATTAATTGTTCTATCTCTCCTGGAATCCTTGGCAACCAAGAATGAGGAATAAGCGGATAGTTAAGGTCAAATTAAAATTTGCTGTAAACCTCTTGAGCATATTCAGATAATACCCTTGAGAATTTTACTAATTTAGATTTACATATATCCCTAAATAGCAAAAGCGAGGACATATTTTCCACAGAAATCTTTTAAATTGTATCTGCATTCATCTGGTTCTAATTTTATAGTGATAATTTTCATTTACTGTGAGCTATGTGACTCACAGTAAATTGGCCTTTCTGTGAAATCCTGTTCAGAATCGCTGCTTTTAGCAGCACACACTATAAATATTTATGAAATCATAAAGCCTCTGTAAACATTTATTTAAATAACATTTTGGAAAAGTAAGAATAATTATCTTGTGACTCATCCTACAAATTCTAACACAAGTAAAGTGATTTAGAAAAAGCAAATGTACAGCTTTTAATGCTTTTTTTCTTTTTTTTGGTAAACACATTAATCCTGTGAGTCAAAATTAATGTCATGGCATTTATACATGTAAATATTTCATGTACAGACAGATAAAATATTTAGAAAATATGTCATTTCCAACAGTGTTAAAAGTATACATGCTGGTGACATGTTTGTGTTTTGATAGCTGTTTTTGCTATTTTTTTTAAACTACAAAAATCAACAATATAATGCCAAATTGTCAGGCTTGCAGCATTTTTACAACTCCGATTATAATTTTTATGATAATTTAAAGTGTTGTAGCTTTTGGTGTTACACCAGGTATGAGAGCAAACACTTCCCTCTGAGAAGCAAAAAAATCGCCAAATGTCACGCCGCCCCTCGCAGCTCTGTGGTGTCTGATAAAAGTCAGTGCCTTTAAGCACAGAGTTGCCAGTGTTGCCAACTGTGGCACCACAGGGCAGGAAAGGCCCCCAAGGGCCTGGCATTTGGGAACCAAGTTAGAGTAGTTAGCACAGGCTACATGGGGTTCTTATGCACTAAAGCCAAGTGAATTTAAATCATAAATATGCAAGTGGGGAATTCATTGTGAGACAAAAACACTTTGTTCACTTTACTCAAATTATCATGTGGAATCATGTGACAATTGTAATTTCTTGAAATCTTCAACAAAAAAGAAAGGATTTGATAGATCTTCACCTAGTTTTGTATTTTCCGATTTCCCATAGACCTTTAAACAGACAACAATGCAGCCATCTGGATATGGAAAGGAGGAGAAAGCACAATGCAAAGCATAAGTGATGCAAGCACTGCCTTTTGTTTGGCAGCTCTGATTGCCAAGGTTACCAGGCAATACTTGGCAGCAGGAGCAGTCACAGCAGGATAAGCTCCATATGATTCATGATCCGTGCAGAGGCCATCTTTAAAGATTTCAGCTTTGCTGTCTGGGCTTGCCTACCTTAACTGTTTGAATCTGTCAGGGCTTACGCAATTTTCCGAATACAAGTTACTTCTCAAAATCTGTGTCTGTATGTCTGTGATTATACCTGTGTTGGTACATTGCTGGCAACCTCTTTTTTTCACATTTTGCCAACATCATCCACACAAGGGGACACAAGGCAAATTCTTGGTCAGTTATGTGTGTTCTCGGGTGTACATGTGTCCTCTGCGCAGGTCCGATTGGCCCTGTATTACCATAGTGTAATTAGATTCAAAGGGGAAAATACACATTTCTCCTCTCGGAAGACTGCTGTCACAGACAAACAGTTTCTAAGTACCAAACTGTTTGAGAGGCTGTGAGCTACAGCTTAAATATAGTTTATCTGTCTATTTCCAAGATTATTTGCTGGTAATGGCTGACGGTCTCCGGCTTTCTGGCACTCCTGCAGTAGAACCAATCAGACCACAGGGGTCGGCCTGTGCAGCCGGCACCGGCAGTCAGCAGTGATGAGGCCCTGATCCCCAATGGTGAGACTGAGCCCTTCAAGCTCAGTCCAGTCATCAGACTCATCTGTCACCTTAAGGTGACCTTAGAACAAAGGGAAAGAACACTTGTAGGTCCTGCCAACAACTTCTGCAGTTTCCTGTGATTTATTTTCCCCCTGTAAGTGGTCCAGTTGCACTTGTGGTGGCATTGAAGAAACATCCTTGTGAGACTGTTTATCAAGATAAAGGATTGTACTGAATTCTTAAGTTTTAAAATCATGACATGACTGTTTTGGGGTTAACTGCTAATTATGTTCAGATTGTAGCTGTCGCTTCTATGGGGAAAATCCCAAAACAGAAATATGGAAAAGAAAATGTTCCAAAGCGTAATGGCCATTCCTTTGAATATTTTACAACATTCTCCTTATTCTCTCCCTTTTGTTTTTTCTTCCCCTGGCATTTTTTTTTTCAGGCTGAAGATGAGGAGGAAGAGGACCAGCCCCTGAGCTTGTCCTGGCCTGAATCCGGGCGAAAGCGCCTCACTTATCTCGTGATCATGCCCATTGTTATTCCCCTATGGATAACGCTTCCAGATGTTAGAAAAACTGTGAGTTCTCAAAATATTTAGAACAATAGTATCTTCAATTTATCTGGTAATTTGTGGTAATATTCACAGATATTGATGTTTTTCTGTACGATTATTTGTCCCTCAGGCGTCAAAGAAATTCTTTCCTATCACTTTCCTGGGTTCCATCGGCTGGATTGCTGTATTTTCCTACTTAATGGTGTGGTGGGCTCACCAGGTATATGCACGCGATCATGGCATCATTTCACTGATGTAATACCCTCAATAAACCTAATATTTGTTAGAACAACAAAAGCAAGATGCTTTGCCTTTGCTCTTTGTTTCAAATTCTTGATTTTTCATCTAAACGCATTCTGTAATGCTCCCACTGCAGCTGTCTTATTCAAAACAAGGAGACTGTCAAAGTTTTGTCACCTCCATTAAGTCCACAGCATCATGAGGAAATTGAAAATAACTGGAAAAAAAGATTAGGGTTTATTTACCCAAAAGCTTAGATTTCCTTCTCTTTTTTTTCCTTGCGCAGGTTGGAGAGACCATTGGGATTACAGAGGAGATTATGGGTCTGACTATATTAGCAGCTGGAACCTCCATCCCTGACCTCATTACCAGTGTCATTGTGGCACGCAAGGGGCTTGGTGATATGGCTGTGTCCAGCTCTGTGGGCTCCAACATCTTTGACATAACTGTCGGGTATGCAATCTGAGGGTATCTGAGATGGAATTCAATTTTGTTTTGTGCTTTGTTGTCAGGACGGGTGTTAATGTTTCGGTAGGGTTTTGAGTTGGATTTTTATTTTTTTTTCCCTCAACCATGTCCTCAGCACATGCAGAGGAGTTTTTGTACATTTGTGTCAAAAAGGAAACAAAAAGATAAAAAAAAGACAAGTAAAGGTAATCTGCCAGCGGTGAAAGTGAGCCACATGATGCTTCCAGCTTTGGGATTTTAGTGTGGAATGAAGGCTGAAATTTTATCATGAAAAAATATGGTTGACTTAACTGTTGAAAGATAATTTATCTATCTCTAGGAATCTATTCAGTTTGTTATTTGTTTAAGCCAAACTACACAAATTTAATTAGATGTTAGACGACAAAAGCAGATGGAGGCGGGGAGGACAGGAGTTTCTCTCACTGTTTGGCCCCTACATTTTTTTTAGCCAGTGGCTGTTTATTGGAATGCAGCCTCATGTAATCAGACCAAGCAGTGACTCAATGTGATTACAAATAAGGCACCACAGGACAGCGTCATTACATGCTTTATTTCCATCAAATTTCAATAGCTTAACGCATACAATGCCTTAGCAAAGTCACCGCGTGTCCTGAAACATGGAGGTCACCATGAAATAGATTTACCGATGCTTCTGACGCTCGTTGTTAACTGACCTTTGCACTTTTTCAAATTTGCTCCACTTGTCTGTATTGTCATTTCAACAATGACTTAAAGCATGTTTTGACTCACTCTTACCATGCATTGCTGTGTTTACAGATTGCCCTTCCCCTGGCTTTTATGGTCCATCATCAGTGACATGAGTCCGGTGCAGGTCAGCTCCAACGGCCTCTTCTGTGCCATCGTGCTCCTCTTCCTCATGCTCCTCTTTGTCATCATCTCCATCGCCGCGTGCAAGTGGCGTATGAGCAAGCTTCTCGGCTTCATCATGTTCATGTTGTACTTTGTCTTCCTGGTAGTCAGCGTCATGCTAGAGGACAGGGTGATCAGCTGTCCGGTGTCCATCTGAGAACATGTTAAGGAGCCTCCCCCTCCCCGTCACCACCACCACCCAAAAAGCATCCGTCTTGTCTGCTGTCGCTCTAACTTGATCTCTCTGACATTTTACACCAAAAATAAAAGAAGAATAAGAAGAATTTCACTTGAGAGCACTATGAAAATATCGTAAAAATATGGAATTTCATCCGTATTTCCAGTAAAAAGGTGGTGGCAGGGAGAGATAAAATATTCAACAATGGCTTTGCCGGTTTTGTGCAGGCCAAACATGAGTGGATTTTTATTTATGAATATTTCATTGGCAGGTGAAGAGGGAGGGATGGGATGATAGGATGGTGAGTGTATTCCAAATATAGAAGTATTATGTCTAGAATCAAAACTGAGCCTGGTAGGTTGAGCAGAATGACCTGTGAAACTCTTAAAAACTGATGCAGTGACTGAGCTGAAATCGTGCGCATACTGAGATTCCATCATCAAGAGGAAATCTAGGATGTGGATGACAAAACTAAAAACTGTCCAGCTGTCTTTTTTTGTGTGTCTGATGGTATGAAGCAGAAAGACAGTTGTGGTGTTGGCACCTGGTAATACTCTTGCTGTGCAGAAAAACTGTATTCCTATTTTTTGTTTTTTCACAAATCCGTCTGTGCCCGGTTTAAATGACAAGTGTGAGCGTCCCCTCTCTCCTGCCAGATGTCATTTTACACCACTGAATGTTTCTTCAAAGGATTTTTCTTTTTTTTTTTTTATTCATTTTCATGAAATATAAGAAGTAGCATTAGATATACCGTAGCAGTATTAGTCTAGGTGGAGCTATCCTTACAACTTGCTCCGTTTTTCTTTTCAGTTTACGACTGAGAGCGTTCCATGGGTCACATGCACCAAGAGAAGACAAGAAAAAATAACCCAAACTGAAGTTTAGCCCCTCAAAATATAGTATATGCTAGCCTTCAGCATCTTGTACTGTTTGGGGAAAATGCATGAGTGCTTAGGCTCATTAGAATTCCACTCTTAAGTCAATGTAAAAAATAATACCTTAGAAAAAAAGAAGAAAAAAAGACTTTACAGTGTTTAAACGTAATGGTTGACTTAGATGAGTCAATGTGTAGTACTTTGGTCTCATTAGAGCTTGGTTCAAATCAACAATCTGTTCGGGTAGAAATTTTAAGGTGTTAATTGCATGTAAAAAAAAAAAAGAAAAACAGAACGAAAGAATAGTCTATCAATCAACATTTAAGAAGTTGTATACCAAAATGTAAACTTTTTCAAACTTGTTTCATAACTTCTTAATGCAAACCAGTGGTCAATCAATATGTAGAAATTGTCAAAACTATGGTCAACAATATCTATAAAACGTGCAATTTTCTTTTGTAATCTAAGGTGCTTTTGTGTGCATGTGTGCAACCAAATTTGGAGTCATCATACGATGACCATTCCCTAAATTTACCCATATGTAGAGCTAATACTATACGATTTATACGGATACTTGACAACTAACTGCAAAAAAAGAGAAAATTCTGAGTGATATATATGTATATACATATGTATATACATACATATATATGCATACATATATATATATATATGAACACAAATGTGTTGTAAGAAATAAATCATAATCACAATCTTAGCTACATAGAATGTGGAAATCACAACAGACTTTACAGCAATATACCATATGTTGTTATTGAAAACTACATCACCCATGCGTCTGTCCTTGTCCTTTCCTGTCTAATCCAAAGCCCATTAATGTAAAGTGGTAAAACCAGTTCTCCTCAAACAAACATCTTCCTGATGGAGCTGGCCTGCTTTACCTCAACACAGCCTCTGTACAGCAACATAGTAAAAGTTAATTGTAAAATAATAGTAAATAGATTCTCTGAATGTGTGAGAAAAAAATGCATGCAAGGAATTTGGGCTGGTTACCCAGAGACTGTACAGCAGAGCTTAGAACAACTGTATACTGTATGTTGACTTTTATGCATCCATTCAGAGACAAAACACCAAGAACATATTGGTTTTATTTTTGTAAATACAAACTCTTTTGCAACAACCAAATGGTTCACATATATTTTACTCTATTCTTCCTTTGTTGTTGTTGTTTTTTGTTGTTCTTGTGTATGGAATCAATACCGTATGCAACTGGCCCTTTAGTATTGTAGTATTATGAACAACAACTTGTACTACTCAACAGCTTTTTGGCATACATTAATTGTGAACATGCCTGTTCAGATTCTGATAAGTAAATGAGGGCTTTTGATACCATATTGCCTCCTCCAATTAAACAAATATATAATTAAGAGATACTGCCAATTTAGTTTCTGTTGTGTTACAATTGTACAGCAGTAAAACCAGTCTGCAAAGGCCATACCTGCGGCTGTTCTCAGCACTCTGCCCTCCTGTATTACATTTTCACCATCCAGATTGAAAGAGTAGGTTTATGGCCTTTGTGATGAGTCATGTACATTGTGAAAATCCTTCTGTGCACACTTGCCATTAGACTCGTCCCTCAGAGTGCCCACGCACTCTGGTTAATTTAATCACACCTCACCTCTACTTTCTTCTCACTCCTTCTTTGAAAGATTCGTCGGACACTTTAGGAAATGAGGAGATTTCTAATTCATGCATGAATTCTTGCTAAAGCCTGCCTAAGAAGATCTTACATCTTATCTATATAAAATCCGAAGTGTAGAAAAGACTGTGTAATATGGTGTCAATTCCTCATTTCCTTTGTTAAAGCAAGTATCACTTAACTGAGGGGAGGCGCAGGGGGTGAGCCTCTGGATGAAAATATGCCACTATAACATGTTGGAGATATTTCACTGTAACCTCTTAAAAAAGCTCCCCTCGTCATTGTCAAAGGTCATTTAGGTTTGTTGGTTCTCATTTAGGCACAGTCACGTGCAGACTGTACCTGTTAGCTTCCATTTTAAAAGCCCCCCCCCCTTTCAAGACAATAATTTACTTGTCATTTTTTGAGTGAGATAACAAGTTGAGAAAAACAAACTAAGATGAATATCAGCACATGAGTTTGACATTGATTGTGGTTAACCAGGGTAAGTGATGGGGACATTAACCACTTATGAACATTCTTGCACTGTAAATGTTTTATTTTCTTGGTGTTGATGTAAGATTTATTTAAGATGTACATATACTGTATACAGATACAAATTAACCATATAATCTATATGTGTAAAAGAAATATGTCTCTGTAAAAACACAAAGTATATAATAAACACAAATAAAGATGCTAATTCAAATTATGAAACACTGTGTTTGATTATCATGCAATTGATAAGGTTTTCAATTCTAGATCTGGCACATTTGAATGTTTGGTAAGTAATCTCTCTAATTTGCTGTGGAAACCTTCAGGTATGCATTCCATCAGGGTAATGTATCATTAAATATTTTTATAATTAAAACTGCATTTTATGTCGACACACTAAATTGCTTTACCTTTACCTGTGCTGCAGCATTAAGGAGATACCATTCTTATGTCCAGCAAATATTATGAACTATCTTTAGTCCATCTCAACAGTACTTGGCCTTGTCAAAGAATATCTAAGTTTAAGTCTAAGTTTATGATCCCAAAACCTGTGTCAATCAAAGCTATTTGATAAAATCATCCAATAATTCCTCCCTGCATCCAACCATTTTCCAGGGACGAGCTTATGAGCAGTAATAAATAAACCTTATTACCCCTTTTTTCCAGCTCTATTCTCTTTGGACAAAATAATTCCATGACCTCAGAGAGATCATTTATTTTTTAGTCCTCAGTCTAGCCTGAATTGTTCCTCCTGGTGAGAAGTGCCTGAAACACATTTTTTGTCTGGGCATGCTTACCAAATGTTTAAACCCTGACCCCTGCTTGGATGGTTCTTAGCAAAGGGCCCTCAAAACACCATACATCTAGGTATATCCTATAAGACACAACCACGGATTTTTCCTGAGCAAATACTGTACATGCGGGGGGAAAATCTTATGCACCCATTCTGGAGAGATTAAAAAATGTGGTCAGTGTCCCAAACCAGGATGAAAACAACATTGCTCATCCTAAATACCGATTCCCTCTCTGAAGAAATGATTGCATTCATGGGCCAAAAATACCTCATTGTTTCCTTTAAAATATGCTTCACTTCCATGCAGTTATTGGCCGATGCATCCTAAACAGGACAAGAATGTAATTACTGTAAGGGACACGTTGTGCAAACATGGGGAGAAAATGTGCTCATTTGCATGCCTTCATCGTCCTACAGCTGTTAAAACTCGAAGGTATTCTATAAATGTTGTCATTAAAGGTGGTGGCTTTCTGCTTCACTCGATCCAAACTGTGGAGCAGAGCGCCCTCTTGTGTTTCAGTCCTGAAACTCCAGTGGGAACTGACAGTCCGCCCCCGGCACCCTGTCTTCCACAGAACCACTGTTTGATTGTAATTCCACAGAATCCCACCGCAGGATGTTCTAAGTCAACTGAGCAAAGTATTTATAGAAATTTCCATCGGGATCAGTATTAACCAGAATGGCCTCAAGAGAATATGTTAATAAGCCCGTGTTCTTGTTTGGACTTAGTTTTCTTTTCCTTTCTGTTTTTCGCCATGACTTTCAGTGAGTCGGCTTTAGAAAAGTTCCAAAGCAATGCCGTGAGTGCGACTAAGAGGCGCATTTCCTCTATTTGGAAACCAGCTTTGTGTTTTGCATTTGGACCGACAGTTTTTCACCTGTGGTGAAAAATAGAAGATAAGAGGGACTACAAACATGGCGTCCTGCTTGGGCCTATTTGTGTGGTCAAGCAAGACTGTCTCAGGTGCATTTCATCAAGACTCTGTCTGGTGAGTTCATAGTGAAATAAGGTGAGTCTGGGATGTTCCGTCTGAGGTCAATTCTCCTAACGTCATGACAAAACCACATAAGACTACACAAGGTAATACATCTCTGAATTTTATTACATTTCCTACAAATTAACTTTTTACTAATTTGCTTTTCATATTTTTTTATTTCCTGGAATATCCCTTATATT